GTCTCATGACATTGACTACAATTTACCCCAATGCAACAGCTCCCCTCCCATGTCCTCCCAATAGTTACCTCTTTCCTGTGTCCATCCCTCCATGCACTGCTGCCCCCCAAGCTGACTCCCTGTGTATAAACAGCCCTTCTTTCTCCCATGATTGTTCTCCCCAAGGAGTGTATCTACCTCAAGTAAATGTTCAACTCATATGCCTGTCTTTTGTTTGGCTGGAAAGCACAGGTGTGGGTTCAATTCCAGACCTGAAGGGCAGCTAAGGACCATAGTCTCAGGGGTTCTACCAGGCTCTATCAGACCAGCAAACCTGGTTCCCCCTCCCTTCGTTTTTTTTTGTAATGATTTTGAGTTTTGTTCCACATTGCTTTCCCTCTCTATCCAGGATCTCCTACATAGATCCCCCTCCAAGTGGTTGACAGTGGTAGCCGGGCACCATCTAGTTCTTCTGGTCTCATAGTCCTATAGGCTGCGGATCACATGCTTTACCAGTCACCAGGACTAATTGTTTTCATGAATCTTTGGTTTTCTTCATTCTTCTTTGCTCTGAACAAGGAGAGACCCATCGTTGCATCTAGATGGCTTTTTGCAATCTTCGTAAAACTACTTTTAAGGAAAAACACCATTAGTACAAGTGAGCATGACGTACATTGATAAAGCTGCAGAAGAGGATTTTACTTACCTTTCTACTACTTGTCTAACCTCAAGACATCTACATTTGGCCACATGTACAAAATTTAAGGTTCCTAACATAGACAGGAGCTCTGGTAGCATAGTGCCTAAGGCATTTGGCTGCTAACCAAAAGGCTGGCGTTCAAACCCACCAGCCATTCCTCAGAAGGAAAATTGGGCAATCTACTTCTGTAGACATACCACCTCGGAAATCCAAGGAGGGGTCACTATGAGTCAAACCTACTTGACAGTCAAACCTACTTGACGGCAGTCAATTTTGTTTTTGTTTTTTTTTTTAACATGGACATGGAATGAATGTCTCTGATTGGTATCATGATTGTTTTCTCTTCCACAGTTATGCAAATGCACTACTGGCGCTTAAACTTGAAGTCTTATCACAAGGGCAAGAAAACTTAAGCTGGAATGAAATTCAGAGTTGTATTGATATGGTTAATTTCCAAATTCAAGAAGAAAATGATCGTAAGTATGGGGACACTTTTTTTTTCTAGTGCAGTGGAGAATAAGGTGTCTGGACAATTTAGTTCTTTAGATTAGTACTGCAAGATTTTGCTCATGGAGAGCTGAGAGCACACTCCCCTAATATGCATGTGTATATTTATCTATAAATTTTATGCTTACACTGCTGTACCAATATATTATAAACATTACGAAGCATACACAAAATGACATAAAAATATATAAATAGAAGTCCTAATATTTTAATATTTTTTTCTAATTCAGGTAGACCACTGCTCTACATAATGGCTTTTTAAGCACCCACCTTTATTTTGACCTTTCATTTGGGCATTTTTTTGAAATATGACACATGATTCTACCCTAGGAATGAAGAAATTGGGACCTAACATCTTCCCTTATGCTCACAAATCATGGTGATCTGTTTTGTTTCTAGAAATTATGAGCTACCAGTATAAAAGTGGGGAGCTCTGGTAGCATAGTGGCTAAGACACTTGACTGCTAACCAGAAGGCTGGCGGTTCAAACCCACCAGCCACTCCTC